TCATTGACTTAGTTAAAGTCTTAGAGAGTTAAATCAAGCCTCTAACTCTAGGTTTATGGGTTTTATAGTAATTTACAATTTTTTGTTAAGATTTGGATGAATTCTATATGGAAATTGTTAATTTTAAGGACAATGTGGATAGATTGTAGGTTGTGTTAATATGTTTGGATGTTAAATAGGATTGTTAGAGTATGTTAGAAGAGTTGGTGTTATTAAATAAGGAATTTATACGTAATGGGTACTAGAAATCTAGTGATTCAGAGTTTAATCGAAGTGATAATTGATAATTATCACTTAATTATGTAGATTAAGTGTTGCTCGAGTGTTATCGTGCATGTAAAACATGTGGAGAAAATATTAAACTACAATAACCCTTTTTGTAATAAAAGGATTGAGGTAACGAAATAATTTACACTATTTAATTAAAGTGCTTAACAGTCTAGAGTAGATATGTAAATTGTTTACATGTGTTTTGAAAGCCTTGTATATTACAAAATAATGTTTTTATGCATTTCAATTGATTTTAGAATCATAAAAGTTGTGAAAACCTTTTATATGAGTTAAATGTAGTTTGGATATAAATATGTGGTATGTATGATAAGTGTGAGCATGATCATTATGGGGGTGGGAGTACACTCATAAGAAGAAGTAGTGAAAGTTCATATAGCAAGCATCTACTTAATGCCTAGTCAAGTATGATGTTAGAGATTATCTCTTTAGTATTCAAGTGGGATACGGTATTGGAAATTGACTCTCTTTAGTATTAGTGATGCAATGTTAGAGTAACAACACCCCAATTTATGTATGATAAGGGGAAATCATAGTCTGGCAGTAAGATAGGACACCTTTGGCTGAGTGATCTTACCATTGAAGGTAAGCTCAGATTATTGTGAATGCGTACTTAGTCTAAGAGCTTATGATTTTAGTGAGGGTGATATAAAGGTTCGGATAGTGGAATGATCATGTTAAAATAAAAATGAATCATGCTGATTGAAATGACTTTATGGAATATACTTAATACTTGTTTTTGTGTATATTAACTTTATTCCCTTATAGTTTTGCATATTAATCGATAGTAGTGAATTATTTTGTTATTAAAATGTTTCTTATCCTGTAGTTATATTTTACAGGTAAGGGCTTCAATAGGGGCAAAGGAAAGGAAGGAACGATCGAAGAATGAAGAGCCTTGTTTGTATAGCTTTTCCTTTCATATTTTGGTTTTTGTAACAAATATATCATGATATTATGCCAACTTAGGATCATTTTATTGTTTTATTATCACTTGTTTAAAACTCTATGTAATATGTGTGTATCTCAGCCTAAAATTATGGTGCTTGTGGTTAAATGAGTGTGGATGGCTAGGATACTAGTGCAAGTGATATTATTGTATTAACTATGTATTGGAATGACCAAAATGATGCTTATGTTGAATTTTATCCATTCCTTTACATTGTTGAGAATTGAGGGTTTGGTAGTCATTTTATGTATAAGTGGTTGTTTGTGTGATATGATTGGTCTACTATGATGTGTGTGGTTCATTTGAGTTTATCAAGATGGTTTCAGAGCTAATGGCACTATGTTGTGTGTTTTGGACACCATTAATGTGTTATGGTTATAAAACAGACCATTTGAATTCATATGTCTATCTATTATATAGAAGATTATTTGAGTGTGATGCTAGTGCCATTAGTTAGAAGGCTTAAAGAGCTTCCTGTGGATACTTAAACTATTCAAATTGGACATTAGATGACAAAACAACGCGCTTTAGATATTCAAAGTGCTGTCATGACAGTAGGCACAAGTTATGGCGCATGCTTGTTGTGTTGCAATGTAATATAGCTGAGGGACTCATTCCCCTGTGCCATTTATCATGGTAGGTGTAGCCTGCGTCGTAGCAGATGGTGCAAATTTTGAGTTTTCCAGATTTACTCCATGTTTACTGTTGAGTGTTAATTTGTGTTTTCATGTTTCCATTATCTTGTTTAACTAATTTTTAAGCTATAGTTTGAGGTCAAGCGATTTTTAAAAAAAGGTTTTCCTAGGATCATAATATTTTGAACTATTTACTTTTAAACTTTTGGGTTGTGATAACTTTTATTTGAGATTTTATTTGATCCTGGTTATCACAATGATGTGTTAGAGTGTTGTCTTGATAACTTCAAGGAGCACATTACAGCCAACATGCTATACCAAGAATCACCTTTTAAGGAATCACCTCCCTCCTCGCACCTTTCTCTAGCAAATTCAATCTCGCCCACTCCTGTTTATTAAAATGGAAGAGCAAAAAGATTTTGAGGCACAAACCTCTACTAAATCTTAACTACAACTGAACAATCTCACAACACATGCATCAACAACTCATCCTATCTACAGAAACCACAAAGAGAAGAAGCACCCCATCTTTATGATAAATTTTATTCATGAGCAACTTTCCATGACTTACCAACCATATAAACAAGTGGATTAATTCAATGCCAAGCCACCTCCATAACTATTTCTAGAACTCTCCCTATTGGGACCTTTTTTTACCTTTTATCGTACGGTAGCCTTCTCTTACAGAATAGCCTCTACTCCCTCCTTTAGTCCATTTTAAAGCATCATTAGATTGATCCTCTAAAGGAGGTACTACAAATTGTATCCTCAATAAAGCCTCTTCAAAAAGAAAGTGTTTCAAAATATCCTATCTCCAATACCCTTGCTCATCCATAGCATCAAAAACTCTCTAGCTCAACAACTTAGGAGGTAAGTCCTAGAAGATTTCATTATGCAAAACATAATTCCTAGAAACCTAAGTATCATTCCAAAAACTTGTTTTTCTACCATTTCTAATGTCAATACACCAATTACCACTAAGATGATGCCAAATGGATGCAACATCCTTCCAAAAGGCAAAATCCACATCTCTAATCCTTATGTCATTCTCAAACACCCTTCCACTATTATATTTGTATTGAAGCACTTCCACCCACAATCCCTCATGCCTAGATCTCAAAGCCCATGCAAGTTTTAACAAACAAGCCTCATTCATTGATTTTAAATCTAAAATACCCAAACCACTACACTCTTTTAACAATTTCAACCCCACAAAATATACTTTTGGTTGAAATAGTTTACCACTACCAACGAGCACATCCCCTTTCATGTGTCACTTTCTCGAACTCGATCCCTTTCAATTTTAGCATGAGAATTATATTTGTGAAATTTGGTTTATTCTTTTTTTAACTTATCATTTTTCTTCATTCTTGAATCTTTCTTATGACATCTCGTTCATGGAATTTGAGATAGGAATAGTACCATACAACTCCTTGGGGCGTGGATTTTTTGGCGATAAGGCTATCATAAAAAGCTTACCTGCTAAAAGTATTCTGGTATTGTGGCCCAAAACTTTCATTTTCTATTCTATTTTCATTAAACCTAACATCTAAAAAGCATCATATATCTAGGATTGTTACAAATTCATTGTTTTTCCAGTTTTTTTGTTATGACATGCCTGATTCATATTGGCTTATGTTTCCTTCTGACAGTTAATGGAGCTAAGGTTAAATGGGGAAAACCTTGAGAAGAGGAAGATCATATATTTAAAGATAAAGAAGTTGGCACAAAAGCATGGATGTACACCGTTACAACTTGCTTTTGCATGGATTCTTCATCAAGGAGATGACGTGGTACCTATCCCTAGTCAGTGATGATTTGCCATTCTGGCACCTGCATAACTTACTGTATTTTTATGGCTTAATCATGAATAAATATTATTAAAATTTGTCCCTATAAAGGGTATTTCCCACTAAGTTTCTTCTGACAAAGTAAAATGCAATACTGCCTAGAAAATCGTTTTTATGCCAAAAAATGACATTCGTACCAAATCTCTCATCTGGCGCAGGAACGACCAAAACAAAAAATCTGGACACTAATTCTTGGTTCGTTTAAAGTGAAGTTGAGCAAGGATAATTTGAAGGAGATTTTAGACACATTTCCAATTAGTGAGGTTATAGGGGATTGGACAACCGATGCTTTTATCCGCTGTTATTGGAAGTTTGCCAATACCCTTCTCCCTCTCAAATGATGGAAGTCATGTGATGTGACATTGGTTTTTTTTTTTTAACCATGTTTTGTAGACAACTTAGGTTGTTATCCAAAATCATACTGAAATTTTCAATACTGTAATATGCTTATTGTAATATTAACTCCACTCATATTTATAAATCACATTATAAAAATTTTTTACATTCTTATTCATAAATCATTTTGTAAAGTCTATGGATTAGTATTTTTTCAATAGTACCCTTGGTATGGATATCATTGAGTGATTATGGTTAGAAAGAAATTGGAAGAAATGAGAAAAATTTAATTATAATTTATTGCATTTAATTAAGGGTAAATGAGTAAATTATCTCTTAAACTTTTGGTCCAGTAAGACCATAAATCCTGAATTTATTTATTGTGCAAATTATTCTTTTAATAAAAGTTAATTCTGATCATTAATTAATCAAAAAATAATAAAATGACAAAAAATTACTAAAAAAGACAAAATTTGGTCCTTTTATTATAATTTTTGAAGTCATTTTTTATTATTTTCTAATCAACTAAAGATTAAAATTAACTTTTATTAGTAATAGAAACTAAATTGTACTATTTTTAAAAATTAAAAAAATAATTTATATAACAAATAAGTTTAAAACCTATGATGCTATTGAACTTAAAATTGAAGAAACAATTTGCTCATTTATTTATTAAAGGCAATTTTTGAAAGATTGGGTAATTTTAAATACAATTACCATTTTTAGTTGACTTGATCAGTTTATATAAATTAATTAAATATGAATTATAAATAACTACAGAAGTAGCATTTACATTTACAGTTATGCGCCTTCAAAATTAAAAAAAATAACTTCACACTATATGGTTCGATGTAAAGGAACGTCCAAGGAATCGCGCATGCACAGAGCAATCTAAACAATAGATGAGACGATATTGGTCCTTAACATGATTCACATCGGGTATAACATAGGCGAGACAAATATTGAGGCATAGATAATTTACAGCCAAAATGCTACAGAAAAAGCACAAGTATGGTACATTTATTTAATACAATAGAACACATCGGGAGTTAATATATTCCCTTCACTCAATGACGTCCTTTTTTGGGGCAAACCGATCAGTGATGGTTAGTTTAAATCTCATACATCTATTTTTCTTTGGCAAAATAATCTCATACATCTTCAAGCGCAAAATATGCATCGAGTAACTCTTGACACTTTCGGCCAAAAAAAATCTCTCGACTCATGCATCCAGCTACACTTGATGGTTCCAAGGACCTTGTTTCATCATTATAATCGGCACCTGAATATTGAAATATATGTATAAGATGTCTCTGTCTAAATACAACCAAGATGACCATTCAACTATGGCCCACAATGTGGAATAGTCACGACTCTTATGATCTGTTATCATACAATTGGCTCACGAAGTTCTCCATAGAAATAAAAAGGAAAAAGAACCTTGTCTTTTCAGATAACGAGAAATTAAAACTCAAGAGGCAAGCGATTTTAAATGAAATCCACGGCCGTAAGTCTCAGTTTCACAAATATACAGGAAGCAGGAAGCAGAGATTACTCACCAAATATTAAACTGTTCCACTTCTAGCTACAGCTACACGAGGAAGGCATATACCAAGATCATCCAAGTTCGGGCTGCTCTGTATGCTTAGCCCATTCTCATTTGCTAAATGCAATAGACAAATGAAACACAAATGAGGAGAGATATCGCTAACAGTCGATGCAGCTTTGCAATCGTCAGGAAAGCTGGCCAGTATTTCCCTGAAAGATACCACATCCTTCTGATCCTTTCGAATAAAGAAGGGGGCGATGAACAAATCAAACACAGAATTAGGATTCATCCTCGAACAGAAAAAATGTTGATTAACTAGCAAGGTCACAGATTTACATAGGATATTTATACAGAAAATGAAAAAGAATGTTGAAATAAGCACAGTAGCTCATGAAGAAACATAATGCAGCAAGCATCTTATGGTAGCATGCAGTGGGGGAATGCTGGAAAGAGAGAGAAACGAATAGTTGATCAAAGCTACGAAAAAATGGAAAAGCAATTTTAGCATACCTCAAGAGGCAGCTGACCATTTCCTTGAATATGATCCCAAAGGGTGTTTTTCAGAGCCTGGACATCAACTTGTTTCGAAGTTTTGTCATACTCAACTTCGATTTTATTGACCTGTATATTTGAGCAGACTTAAGCTTAAACCATGATAGTTTCCAACACAATAGTCAGCTGAATAGAAATTTAATGATACAGATTATCGATAAAAATGGTTTATTTCTTCCCCTTGATCAATGCCAAAAAAAGTCGCATGTCAAGAGCAGCGTGCGTGAATAATAGGATAAAAATTAAAAACTCAACCCAACCTGACGAGGCTGAGAGACAAGTGTGGTAGAGTCCTCAGGGTCGCTATGAACATCCCCATAGTCACCGCCACAAATACTTCCATCTTCGTATGAAGGGAACGACTCGTATGCATTGCATTGTTCACCAGCTCCCTCAGCACATACACCTAAGTTTGAAATACAGACGACAACACAATGAAGTATTCTATATATTAATTTTCCAAAAGAATTACAAAAATCATACTGGTATATATATTTGAATCGCATTGGCACAATAATTTACCTGAGGATTTTTTCACTCTCCTTCCAAGGCACTAAAGAAGAGAAAAATATCATTAGAGAAACAAGCAAATATCACTCCAGAGAGAACTTGGTAAAAATTCGTGCACTGGAAAAAATACCTTCACATTAGGTAGAATAAATAACTTGACAAGATCCTCTGGCTGATAGTGGCAGTCCTCCGGAAGTTTTGTATTACAAAGTGGTCTATTTTCAGGGAGCAATAATGATTTGGGATTCTTGGGAGGAGAAAAGATATCTTCCACTTTTGGATCCAGAATCTTAGTGAAATCTAAATCAATTTCTGCCTGTCTCTTACTTCTTGATTGTTTAGGCTTTAGGGTTGACCTATCCTCTGAAGCAGGATTAACTTCAGAAACTACAAAAACAGATTATAGACTTACAACCATTCTGAACATCCAAAAACATAATTATTATATCTAACTTGCCCCCTAAATTCTACCTTTGGCTTTCCGGTACTTCCAGTGATCAGGGCCGGCCCATGCATTGTGCTTTGAACTGAAACCCAGACTTAAGAATAAATAGCCATCGACATTTTCAAATTTGTCCTCAATATCAGGATCTTGAGGAAATGATTCATTTTCCTACAAAAATGAACATTTTATTAAAACAACTCATCAATCATGTTAACAAAGCATTATTTTATTAAACATATTCATGATAACCATAAATTTTCTGTAAAATTAACAGAACCAAACCTGAGCATAACTAGGGAAGCTTGCATTAACATCATTTGAGCCTAGATCATCAACTGTTTGGTCATCATGGTCATCAATCCAGGGCATGCAATTTCCATATTCTTCTCTTTCAATCTCAATTTCACAATCATTGGCTCCATCAAACTCTTCTGCTGCCTTCTGATGAGAAAATTGAAAATCAGATGGCCTTCTATTATCTTCATCAAATTGATTTACTATAGTCCTGAGAGTTGGGGAAATTTCATCCTTCATGCGCATGTTCAACACCATCTGTTCAACACATTCTATAAAAAAGACAACTCAAACACAATTGTCCAACTTGAATTGAATGGCTACTATTCTTTATTAAATGACAACAATATGCCAAATCAAAAGCAACCCACCTTTGGCAAAAGAAAGATCAATTGTATCAGAAATATCATCCTGATTCTTACTAGTCATGCACTTTCCTGGCACTTCCTGTGAATCAAAGAGGACCCTACATTTACCGTATACACTAAGATTGTTCATTAAAAGACCCTTTGCTCCACCTTCGTCAAATTGTGCTGATGTCTGGTGATAGAGTGGATCCACGGCAAAAGCAGCTGAACAAACATTTATATTTTCAGCACAATATCAATTCCAAAACGCAAACTAGTAACAAGAGATAGAACGAGACTTGATATCACCATCAAACTTCTTCACATTAAGAACATCAAAAGACGATTCCAGTGTTGACAAAGGTGACAACTGCATAAATAAACTACTGTTAGGACTTATAACTAAGCATATAGTTTAGTCAAGCAGATCTGTCCAGATATTCAAAGACCACTGACCTTTGTGTCCACCTCTTTCTTGCTACCTTCCTGTCCTTTTTCAACATTATCGTTCTCCAGAGCAGTATCTGATAATTACGACAAGCATTTGTAATTTTGTGTTAACAAACAACAATATTGCATGACCAAAAGGTATATGTAGAACAGATATTCAAAACATTCACAAGACACCATATCTACAATATGACCAATGTTATATTATTAAAGACATCATATAGTTTGCTCAAAAAAAAAAAAAGACATTATATAGGATTTTTGTCTAGAAGACATTGAGCAGATGTTTGCATGAAAATTTTGAGGGAAAAAAAAAACGTGATAAACCATCATCAAAGTCCTGACACGCACATCCCATGATAGGAGTGTGCGAATGCGTTTTATCAATGCGTTTTAGATTCAATGATAATTGGTCATCATTATCTTATCAAGTTGTCTGTAATACTATAGGGCATCAATTCTTTTGCGGAAAATAATTTTGAAGAGATAAAGTTGTCTAAAAGTAGAATGTAGATGTTAAAGGTGGGCATTTATCAGAACAGAAATTATTAGGCTCGACATGGTAACGATGGTAACCTTGTTCAGTTTCCTGTCCAGCTCTATTCATTCCACCAAGGACTTTGTAAGCTTCAGAATGCACTGAATCTACCCTTAAAGCATAAATCTTGACTCCAGCTTCAAGGGTGCAACTTGCCTGCCGAAAAATAAACTAAATCAATATCATCATTGATACATAATTTTGCTAACCTTTCACGCTTGAGAGTCCCCATCCATTCAATCTTAAATGAAGAATTCAATTCGGCACAATCTAGTGGAGGTGGAGTGCGCCGTTGCATGTGTATAATTATTGTCTATTCCTAGTAACATCAGCATTCAGCACCGAAGAAATGCTTCACAACAAATTGCAAAAATCATAAAAATAATTATAACTTTCCAATGAAGATCTGAGTCATTAGAACGATCAGTCTCTGAATCGGACTAAATATTTTACATTTTGATGAACTTCTGGAAATTATGCCCAAATCAAGTAAAAAGAATCGCACTGCGTGACATTCTTCATCAACATAACGTACCTTTTGGAAATTCGTCTCCACATCATTTTCTTCTTCAACTTTAATGATATCAGTAAGGTGATCAATCAAATTCAGCTCCCACGTATTTTTCTGATTAATTTTCTGCACCAAAAAAATCCAACGTTAAAAAAAAAATCTCAACATGATTGGAGTGGAATCAAAAGCTCAAGGGGCAAAACGCTTTATTTCGAAGGCAAAAATGGCCGAAAAACATCAGCGTGCATATAGATTACCACGGGCATGGATTGAAGAACGCACTAGATATCATATATCAAAATAATTCCCACTTCTCTGTTGAGTTCTCGACTATAAGCTTCACGAGAAGAATAAAACAATAAAATTTTATTTTACATGTCTAGCGAATACGAAGAAGAGCAAAAATGCAAGTTCTCAGTAAGAAGAGAAGAGTTCAGATCACTGTAAATAAATTACTACAAAATTACATTTTCACTGGCAAGCTTAATGCAGTTCTGGAGCAAATCGAGAATCTGTTGCTTGTTGAGACAGGCATCAGAATAATCATCTAAAGATTGTGACTGAAATTTTGCAGCAACGGCCTTGCGGCGGATGGCAGCAGCGCGGGCAGCGCGGGCCTGAGCGCGCTCCAGCTGGTCGTCGTTGGAGCCCAAGAAAAAAGGACTTGTAGGAGATTGGATGCGAGCGGACATGGGGAGCCGCTGTTTCTGACCAATCGTAGGATTAGGGCTTAGGGTTTCCGCCATGGAAGTTGGAAACAACAAATCAGCAACAGTTGAGAGGAAATTGATTCCGGTGGCGGATCTCGGGGAGTTTAATTCTGAGCAGGACTTTGGGTTGAGGCTCTCAAGTTCGGTTTAGTTCTGGAAGTTCGATTTCAGGTTCATAGGGAAACTCTTTCCCCCCATATTCGTAATTTGAATTGGTGGATCAAGACTTCTGGCCGAAAGCCCAGGGTAAAAAAAAAAAAAAGATTCAGAAAGAGGGGAAGAGTATCAGGCTGCATAAACCCCGAAGGGAGCCCAATATCTGAGTGGAAGATAATGACGACCGTGGCTGGTACCGTATGAGTAACAGCATCATCATTATCATCATCGTATAATAATGAGTTGACTTTATAAAAAACAAATAATAATGAGTTGACGAGAAAAATGTATAATAATGAAATTTACAGAAAATTGGATCATTCCTAAGTCCTAAATAGTAATTAGTTTGATTTTACATTAAACTTCGTTTGAAACACAACATTCATCTTGAAAATATATACTTCCTGTATTTGAAAAATAAAAGCCTAATCCTTGCAATTTTAAAATAACATAAGTTTATTAAAATTACAAAGATACATTACATCATATCAACAAATAATAATATATGGGGAGAATTGGTGAAAAGCATCAAGTTGAAAAAGAAATTGTGCCCAAAGACCAAGTTAAATTTAAAGACTGAGCTAAATATTTTATGCATTAAACAATGTAAATAATGATCGAAATGCTCCTATATTTAAACCAACAAAATTGAAAAAATAAAAAGACTTCCTGTTCAACATGTACACCTTAAGTTAGAAGCCTTATACTCTAAGTTAAGTCAAATGACCAAAATGCTCCTCTATGTTAACTAAAAAAGTTAAGAAAAATGTTCAAAATTTGGTCATCGAAACTTCGTCCACTTCTCCAAAAATTGGCGGCGTACTTGCAGGAGCTGAGGTAAGTAGGTGAAGAGTCACCAAAAAGTATCGCCAAAAAAATTCAACACCCCTTAATTATATGTAATTATTAAGGATTACATGTAAACTCAACAATTAAAGAGTACAAAAATTTTGGTTTAAGGTGCAAGTCTTCTGGTTTGAGATATAAGGGATCTTGCTTAGGTGCAAAGCTTTTAACCTGGGGTGCATTTTTTTCTATTTTGTTAGTTTAAACATGTGGGCATTTCAGTCATTTGATTAGATTGTTTAATAAATAAAATATTTAGTTTGGTTCTTGAGTTCAACTTGGTCGTTAGACACAATTTCTTTTTCAACTTGATCCTTTTCACCAATTCTCCTTAATATATACTCTTTTCAATTTAAAATATAAGCATTTTTTCTTGATTAATATTGATCCAAAATATAAACATTTTAGTATTTATAAAAAAGTATTATCATTTTGCTTTATTTATTAACTTAGATTTTTGTACTTGTCAATTTATGACTTTATGACTTTATAACTTTCTTCTTACTCATTATAAATTAAAATTAAGGATAAAAAATAATATATTTTTAATGAAAATAAAAAATTTATTGGTATGCTAATTATTATTAAAAAGTTCTTACATTTTGAATTGCAAAAGTAGTAGTATTACATCAATATATATTAAACTTTATTTATTGTCACACACACAATTTAGGACATTAAAGGTTTTTTTGGTGATGAGTAAATTTATGGCTTGTTGTTATTGTATAAGGATAAGACATATAGCTTTATATACTTAATATGCTTATGTCCAATTAAATCATGACTAATTGATATCAATATGTTAATTAAATTAATAACAAGAATTAATATAAAATAAAAATCTATAAAAGATTCATATATCTTAATTTAATTAAAAATAAGTATATAAGTATATACAACTAAATATGTAAGTTTTTCTCATTATATAATTATGATATATTGATGATCATACATCATCATATCATCACACACCACACACACCACACACACACAGAGTGCAAAGCGATCAAACTTTTTTTGAAATAATAATATAATTTATATTTTTAAAAAAATTATATTAATATGTTTCTTTTAGTTAAATATTTTTATAATTACTCTTAAATTTTTGCAAGGGTAAAAATTCTTGAAATGAGATAAGGTATTTATATTTTTAATTTTGTATAGAAAAGGTTAGCAATTCTTTTTTTCAAAAAACAACACTTAATACAATGGCGCATGGAGTAATAAATTTTCATTAGGATAATATCTTACGGTAATAAATCATCCTGTATATTTTTGACATTCATGGGGTAACAAAATAAAAAGCTTCTCTTATACCAAAATAATAATAATAATACCAATATTTTTTTTTAAAAAAAGGAGCTTCTCCTGTTGTTTAAGGGTTAATGCCCTATTGGGCATGCGGGATTAGAGGGTTAGGATTTAGATGGAGTAATCCCAACTTTTTGTTTAGTATGCTATAATGAGTATTTAAGTTTTTATACCAATCCTACCTTACATGGCATTACCTAAATACTACCATTCTCAGTAATGTAAATTCAATCCTAGCATTTATTTTTTTAAGACAAAAATGCCTTTTCAACCTCTCGCCTTTGTAACATTCTGGATTTTAACTCCATAATTAATCTAACTAATCAAGGGGTAATTAGGTAAAATTTAAGTGAATTTGGGTTAGAAAAGAGTTAGAGAGAGAGAGAGAGAAAGCTAATGAACCTTTGGGCTTTGGCTTTGGCATTAGGTTTTGATCTGAATATAGTTTAGACTACTCACCCCCTAAAAGAAGGAGAAAAACAAATAAATGTGACTCTATGCCACGCATCGCAGCATGGGAAGTAGCCGTCATAGTATAAGGTGCCAAATAAGAGAGGGAGAGCTCTTTGTGCCACATGCTGTGCATTCCCACCTCGGCACATAGACCAAACAGGTGTGAAGGGTGCTCTCTGTGCCATACATTGCAGCAGTTGTAGCATGTGCCGTAGTGTATGATCTATTTTTTTTGATAAATTTAAGCGTGCATCAATTCAAAAATTAGAAGAGAAAAAGGGAGAGAACAAGGAACATGCCAACAACTTTGTTAGGGTTCGAATTGTTGGAGGTTTAGGAGTTTTTTGAAACTTAGTATCACTTGGGGTAAGTTTTGAAGGTTAAGGTTTGTTGTTAGGAGTGATTTTTGGACTATAGGGGTAAGTCTGTATTCATTGACTTAAACAGAGTTAATGAAAATTGTTTAGGTTATTTAAACTAAGAATTAAGGGTTCACACATTTTTTATGGTTAAGGAGCATTTATATTTGAAATTTGGCATTAAATGTGAGAGTAGGTGGTTGTTGAGGACCATTAATGTTGAGCTAAGTATTTATTGGAGTTAACGTGAGTTAAATAAAGTTAATAAACCTAATAGATAAGTTCAAATGCTAGTGATCAAGGCTTTGAGTATATGGAGTAGTGAAATAGAAAGTTAAAATTGTACAAATGGGAATATTAATGGTTATGGATATAATTAATTATAGATTAATTGTTCAATGAACTGACTTGACTTGGGAACTAGCTTTGGAAGCAATTGTGTTGAGAGATAAATCTTTAACTACTTAAAGGTTTAAGATAAGCAATTGTGTGATTGTTTTCTAATTGATTTAAGTTTGCAAAACTATGTTTTGACATGTGTAGTTGAACTTCTTAATTGTTATTATGTGTCACACATTCAAGAGAGAACAAAAGTGATTGTAGCAATTGTTGTAATAGAGATAGTGGAAATAAAAATATTATTTAATGAAGTGATGATAATAGGGATTTTTGTCTCCAAATATTGCTTTACTGATTTGAAGTTATATGACATGTTAATTCTTGGTGAGAACTATATGCATAATTGATTGCCTCTTGAAAAATGAGTTATATGTGAAAATGAGTATGAAATAATGATATGTGACTAAATGTGGTGAGATGATGATATTTGAAGTATATGATACGATGTGGTTGTTATTATGGTACGAGTTATGCTAAATGCTAATTGAGTGCTTGGTAGAAAATCATAACATGCAAAATGCATGAGCATGAATTATTTGCATGATCATAATGGTGAGAATTTACCTTAAGGAGAGGAATAGAAAAACTCAAGGGCGAAGACAAGGGTGACTAGCAGGGCTATGACTCCCTTAGTTTTTTTAGTAAAATGTAAGGGTTATATATTTTTAACCCTCTAAATTGGAATATGATAGAAGCTTTGAGACACTAAAAGAAATTTTCATTTCAATTTTATAATAGTATTTTAAGCATGTATAGTTTAACTGTTTCAGTAGTTTGAAGATGTAGCTGTCATAAGATTTATTTATTTTCAACAAAATAATGTTACGGTTGCTCCTAAAGTATTGATGTCATTTAATTTTGTTTTCATTTTATATTTGATAAAATAAATTATGAGAATTATTATTAACAAACTTTATCATGTAATGCAACAAAAATTATAAGATATATTGAATGCTATATACATGATATCTACTATAAAATCACTTATTCATAAGTTAAGATATTATAATTAATATATGTTCTTCCAAAAAAAGTACTTTTTATGAAATAATCAAGCTATTGAACTTTATTATATGAATAGTTTTTACTATAATATACTTAGATCTCATTGACATAAAAAATATGTGACAATTGAGCACCATTGTCATGTTAATATATTTATTTACTACAATTATCAATTGAAAGAATTAAATAATAAGTTCAATAAGTAATAGGGTTTTTTAGATTAAATAGAACTTTAGACTCCAAAGATGCATTTCTATTATATTATTCAATATTCATAGGAAAGATGAAATCTTCACCAATTTAATGATATTTTATAGTGAAAAGAAAATTGCTAAAAAATTTATCATATACATGATAATTAGTTGTTCTTATACTATGAAAAATTGATGAGCAAAACTTAAAAAATGAATGTATATATTTAGTTTTGTTATATATATGTAAAGTTGAATATAAATATATACATTGAAATATTTATGTTATATTAGTTATGTATATAGATCTAATTTTCTTTCAATTATCATATATGCTTTGTTATCTTGGCCCCCTAATAATTTTTTTTGGCTCATCCTTTGGATAAATCCATACGGTATGGTCGCCTTTCAATAACTAAAGGCTAGCCCTTGTACTACTATTTATCAAGAGACTATCCTACTATTTTTTGAGGGATTCAAATCTAACTTGTCTTCACTTGTTTGTCGATGATACTAGCATAGGGTTCATGACAACTCAGGGATTCGAGAATGGGGGAAACCATAGTTTGAAAGTGAGTATAGTGACTCTTGACCAAGTTGCTCCTCACAATTGATGAGTTTGGATAGTCCATTTATGCAGATGAGGCTCTGTTTGATTTAGTAGCCATGATTTTAGTCAGAGGTAAGAGAAGGATATAAGGATAGAATTGATCATGCACCATATTATAACTATCATATAGTTGATAAGATTGTAAAAAGTTTTAATTGTTTATTATTACCATTGTCACGTGGTAGTTTCTATTATGACAATGAGCACTGCAATAAGATTTTAGGAGTTTTGATGACTTGTGTTATTATGGTATGAGTTGTATGTGGCTAAGATGTGCTTTGTATAATTTTGTACCCCATACATGGTTGATATATCAATTGACATGCATTTGCATATAATAGATGTACCTTAGTTACTGATTAGTTATACTCATTCCTCTCTCTTAATATTTTACAGGCTCTAACTCAGGTTTGGATAAAGGAAAGATTCTAGAGGCTTAGGAATCTATTATTTCTTTTGTAAAGCCTCCTTACTTTGTTTTGCAATATGTGTAATTTTAATGATATTTGCCAACTAGGTTAAGCATTTTGTATTATACTTGCACTACAGAAATCTGGATGACAAAATTTGTATTTTAGGTCCTGGAGTCATTGTGTGTAATTGAATTATTTTTTTATAGGGCTAAAATACTAATATAAGTATAGGGATAATTATAATGTTTCAAAATGTTGAACATTTTGCATATATGCAATGTAGACCTCCCCCTTTTATTTTTGATATAAAGGGGTTAAGGATTGAAAATGTGATATTAGTATTGTATTGTGGCTGTAATGTGTTGCAGTTTTGAGTTTATTGATTGCGGTTTTGGTGTTGGTTGTGACTTTTGGCACATGGATGAGATTTTGGATATCCTCATTGTGTTAAAAGTGTGAAAAAGTGGTTTAAAAGTGTCTAAATGTCCAATTTTCTCGTGTGAAATTATTTAAGGTTGAAACTCATACTATTAGCTAGTTTATGTAAAGAGTTTTTTGTAGATAATTAGATCACTTTGATTAAACATCGGACAGAGAAATAGGGTGCATAAGTTGCTGTCAAAACTGTGCAGTGCACCACGACACAAGGCACATAGAAGACAGGTTGTAGCACGTGCAGCATCCACCATGGCACATCCTTTGTTACTTTTGTCTTTCTTGTTGTCAACTGATTTTTGAAAGCTTTAACTTACAAATGGTATCACATGCTTTTGAGCTTGATTTTACTCTGATTTTGACTTATGTGAGCTTGATATCCCAAATGTTGAAGAAATTACCTTTTTATTTTGTAGTCTTTCAACTTTATCAACTATGGTTGGGTAATCAATTTAGATTAATCCCATGATTACCATGAAGCTTGTGATTAAATATTAGTTTAGTAAGAACAACCTTACAGCCTCCACCTTGCTCATGCGCAATTTGTGATCTCATTCATATATAGATCCAGATCCAGATCACATCTCTATCATTTCTGTTTGGAACAAAATCGAACAATGACAACAGAGCAACCCTCCATGGACGGCTTCGACGCGAGTATGAATAGAAGCGGACTGTGAGGGTTGAGCAACAAAAGCAAAGATGAATGTGTTTGTGTGAATTTTCTGGTTGGAATATAATCAATGACAAGCAAGGTTGAGCGATGAGCCACCCTCCACGTCTCCATCATTTTCTTCTAAGTTCTCTATCATCTTTTCAATTTTCTATTCTATAGGTTTCAACCACCATGGGTTCGATCACTTTCTACCACAGTGGGCTTCATCATTGATTTTGTGTTCATCACCGAATAGTTGAAAATCCATGGGCTTCAATTTTCTTCTCATAATTTTCGCTGTTTGATTTGAACCGAAGAGTTTTCCCCTTTCCAGGTCGAGCAACAATGATTGAAAGAGGATATAAGCATTTGGGTCTTTATTGCCGATTTTTGTTTGATCTTGTTATTTTTTTAATTTCATGATACACCAAGCATAATTTTAAAACTTATTCCCACTATCCATCCCATTACTTTGTAGCAAACAATGCCTAAGGTCTTCGTTGACAGCTTGATGCCAGGATTGGCCGTGAAAAAACACTTTACTAAATAAAAACAACAATATTCAAAGTTATATCAGGACCGAAAATAAATTCAAACGTCCCCCACAATGAAAATGGGGAGATCGATGGTTTTCTTCCCCCTCACATAACGAATGCCATCCTACAAGAGAGCCTCAAATCTGTCAGCTTATGCGCCAAAGATGACATTAATCTATAAATGAAGGGCATTCAACAGCTTCCAAGCCAAAAAAAACTGATAATCCACAAAGATAATGATAACAAACAAATATATAGGCTTATCTATTTTTACCATAAAATATATAGGCTAATCTTCATACACGGCTGAAGTAAATGAAGTAACTAGCTTGTTTCATACCAATGATTCCTTCAATCTCAGAATGTGCAGATTTTAATCCATTAAAGAATGACTACAGTCAGCTAAATTAAGTAATAGAATTGTCGGTTGATGTGTACAAGTGGCAATGTCCAGCAAAAACTAGCAGCAGTATACCCAAATATTAATGTTGAACCGTCCACCCTCTTTACAGGAGCGTTGCTCTTTCGATGGTGTTCTCCTTCAGTAATGCCATGCAGTGACACTTTGTGGCATGGTAGTAAGTATAGTTCAAATAGCAGCCTAACTGGAGGTCCTCATCAAAATGGCTATAAAACAGCCTAATAAAGCACCGGCAACAACCTGCACGCCACAAAAATTGCAATAAACCAGAATGCCAAGTATTAATCATATATTTAGACAGACAGGAATATAAAATTAACTTTATTGCTTCCCTCTATCACACATGAGGGGATTTGAATCTTCTGTACTGTCTCTCTTAAGCAAGGCCAAAAAATGACATAAATAATGGAAGTGTATACTGTGCAAAGTCCACTGTCTCTCTGACAAGCTTAAAATTTTAGAAAATCTAAATACTGCAATCTGAGAGCATACACTATCAAAGGTGATACGACACCATAAGAGATATAACTAAAGTAATATGGACTAGCTACACGTGTGATAAGTAGCATGTCCCATAAATCATGTTAGTAAATTAGGCCTTGAAAGGTTCAGCCAATGCCAAGAACATACAAGTTGTACGTCACACGTGAAATATGGTATTGCATTAGTTTTTGGAGAACCCTGATATTCTCATGGAGAAGTTACTCTAGAGAATCTACTGGTAAGCACACAAAAGAATACTTAATTTATTTTCCATATTACGTCCCTCACCCCTCCCTATTATCATCAAGATCAGTTCCTAACACATCAAAACTTGCAGGAAACATTGATAGAAAATATGGCAAATATTATTCTAGAAAGAAATAAATTGCCAAATTGCTTCTGCATTATTCAGTATTTTTGTAAGTTTCCCTCTAAAGAAGGAAATCTGAACTTACTTTATGCCTTCTACTTTTTACTTTATGTTTTATTTTGCAAGTTGATGAGCTTCCTTAAGGGAAAGGAAATCCTAGTCTATAAATAGACTAAGTTAGTACTTGTATTAGACACTATTTGGATGATGAATGAATACTAGAAATCTGATTGTTCTCTCTCCCTACATTCTTGGTCAATCTCTTGCTTTCCCACTGTTCTGTTCTTCCTTCAATTCCCTCTCCCTTTCTGTTCTCGCCCCTCATCTCTCACTCTCTGTTCTGTTGCATCTCCCCTTCCGATTCTGTTCCAATCAGTACGAGTGTGTGTGTGTGTGTGTGTTGCACCGAACATTCTCTTCAACTTATGGAATGTGTAAAATGACAATCACCAAACTCCAATTATCACTTCCCCATCGCCCACCATAAAACTCGCCAGATTAGTATTTCTTTTGACAAAGTACTCCTAAAAAACAAATAAACCAAAACTAAGTAGTTAGTTGGATTCAGGCTAATGTATAACCGATGACAGCTTCAAGTGGTGGGCAGACAAACGTAAATGATAATTTTTTAACAAGAAGAACCGAGAGATGCATTTCTCCTAACAAGAATCAATTATGTTAATTTAAGAATTTAAGGAAGAAATGTACAAATAGAAATTAGAAGACGAACTAATAAATTTTTACAGAAGCAAGAAACTGATTGCGATTTATAAAGGTATGGAAAATTTCATCATTCAATTAATGAATTCTGATTTTGGAAAAAAAAATGTATGATATAATGTTGAAGGGCCCATACACTCAGGTGATAATCCTCAAGCATTTAATCAGAACTGATTGTAAGCATTAAAACACAATAAACCTGGAGTGGAGTATGACCAAGTGAATCACGCAGTGGTCTGACAGTGGACAAAGGATGTTCTGGTGGTAGCTCACATACAATTTGATTCAACAACTGCCATGAACACAAACATTAAAATGACATAAATAGCATACAAAATATGCATTCATTATATAATGTGTGTTGGAAGGAGATGAGTAACAAATTCAGATATAAAACTAAAGCAAGTCAACAAAATTAATATTAAATAAAGAGCCTTACTTCTGCCTGCCGACCTGCATGAAGTCTAACTCCTGTTGCATCATACATTACCTATAAAATTTACAAAGAGATTAATCATCCCCACTTCACTGGAGGAAGCACATAGTAATCCAACCAGAAAGTATGGAAGCGAGATCATCAGAGACAAAGATACTTTCCCAGGGGTTAAATCACTCATCACTCATATATAAAAAGAGGGAATAATATAGATAAGGAAATGGATGATTTATTAGGCAATGGTTACTTGTTATTTTCATCAAAGCTATAAACATGGAGAAGGAAATAATCAGCATACTACTGTAGGTGTCAGTGTTTACTGCATAATAAAATATTTTTCATTATTAAAATAAAAGACCTAAACTTTCACAGCCTGCAAACGATGCATACAAGAAGCATAGTAAGTTAATATCAAACTCAGATACATTATATTCTTTATTACTTATCATACTATCATGAAGATCACTGATAGGGTCAGAAGAGAAAGAGGGAGAGGGAGAAGAGGTAGAAGGGAGAGAGGGAGAGAGAAATAACAATTCCATTCACAATGACCCATTACAACCTAGAGACTTATCTACAGAGAATATAACTACATACCCAAACTACCCTTTTATCCCTAATTATCCCATGCATCAATCATAAATACAGTAAGGCTTCACAAGCATCTCCTGATTTATCAGACAATTTGAGGTTCCAGAAAGAAATCCACTGCACACCAAATAATAGAGTATTCATTCATGGTGTAGTTATAATTTTCTCTATTTACTCCCAAGTCTTACAGAAGGTCATTGTTAAACTTAATTCTGCACAAAAGAACGACTTATGGCTTCTCCTTGACAACTATAACTGATGTTGACTGAATACATAAGAATCCGAAAAGAACTAAGTGAGTAAAGCTTATTCCAAATTGAAACGCAGAACTGCATGAATAACTAACATGAGGGTCACAAATGAAGGCAACAATGTAAGAAGTTAGAAAGTTAGGCTAATTAGAGAGAAGGGCAGTATATTTGATCATAAATGAAGTACATACCACACATGCCAAAACTACAGCAACTGCAAAAGCAGGTGACCCTGTTCCCTCTTGGAGACCTATAGCCGCTGCTAGAGCTGACACTGTAGCAGAATGTGATGAAGGCATTCCACCTGAATCAAGCATCCTTTTAGAATCCCATCTCCTTTCCTTATACCTGAGTATCTAGGAGAAAAATCTGGAAAACTTGAGCTCATCTTACTTAGGATTGTAGTAACAAATTGTTTCAAGCAAGAGCGTTATGTGCAGGTGCATTATTAGGTATCAAGAACCTCGCATTTTATCACACTTGTGAAGTCCAACTTAACATGTATACAAATACATGCATTAGTCATACAGAATGTGAAATTAAAGAGTTAGGTTCACATATAAAACAAGGAAGAGCTTAAATCATGAAACCAATCGATAACATTTTATCAAAACCCCAATAGTACCTGAAAAAGTTCTGACTACCACAAGTACCTAAATTCTCCGAAGAAGGAAACACAACAATTGATTCACATTTTAGATAACATTTAAGAAAGAAGAAGAAAAGCTGCATCTCAACAGTCTTCCACTAACAAGAAAATTGAGAGGTGTAAATTAGGTCTTAAGGTTTCCCTTTCTTGCTCTCTTTTCTTAATAAAAATATTACATAAATACGGCCAATGCAAACAGCAAATCGCATAAATTTTAGAAACTAATTTTAATGAACAATCCTTCCTGGAAGGAAAACGCAAAACTGCTTGAAGTAGTAATGTAAAAACTCTAAAAGCAAACCCTAAATTTGCCAGGAGATATTCCATTTCACTATTCCTTGGATCAATCGGAATTAGAAAGTGTAGAAGAAAATCTTCATTCTCACTGGACCAACAACAGACACTAAATTTCAAACCTCTGGACCTAATATAAATGATCAACAGCAGCAGCATGCTTCGAATACAAAGCTATAGACCTAAAACTGCCGCATTCTATGACGATCCTCCCCGTCAAAGTTAAAGGGAACTCAAGGAATTACGAACCCCGCTCCACATCAAGGCTTCTGTGTATTAGATGAGAGTCATGAGACAATAAACAATTTTCGGTGGCAGCAGGAAAGATACTGAGCTACAAATCAGCAAAAGGAAAGCTGAGTGCGGTAAAGATCAAAAACCAAATCAACCGGTCAGCAGAACAATGGAACAAATCAAACATCACTAAAATGAAAGCATACCCAAAAAAGTAAGATCGACATAAACCGTGAAAAATAAAAAGAAAGGAGGAGGGGCATAAGCACGGACCAGGTGGTGAAGATCTTCAGAAACTGGGCGAGCGCAAACGAAAGAAACGCCGAGAGAAGGGGGAAATTGGACGGAAGCAGAGATGTAGGAGTTGCGGCAGATGGCGTCGATTGGGTGGCCGCATTAATATCAGCCATTGTCATCACTTCGTCCATGGAACCAAGGAATAACTGCGAGAAACACCAATTCGTTAACAAAATCGCAAGCTCCTTCTTCTCTATCTGGCAATGGATTATGGGGCGGGAAAGAGAAGATCGGAGTTCGATAAGCGGATAGGATGTGGGTCAGCAAGTGAACGTAGATAGTGAACGTAGATTGGCCGGCGAATTACATATTGCGCGATCCAGAAGGAGGAAGTAGCCCATCGATCTCGATGTTTCGCCTACGGCTGAGATCTGCGATCAGCACAGTGAAGCATAAAACTACAATAATTCCGAGTCGAATCGAGGACGAAAAAGAAAAACATTTCGTGAATTACAAGTTGAGACAAAATGTAGCAGTCCAGCCAGGTGACAGGATGATTTTGAAAGAATTTCGTTATTTCAATATGCAAGATAATTTTTAAAAAATAAAATTGTATTAATAATATATTTTTAATCTTACCCATAAATGGAGAGAGAGTTAAACTGATATTATAATATAATAATTAAGTGTGTTTGATTTTTAATTTGTCAAAAGTTCATTTAATATGAAATGATTGTGAATTTAGAAACACTACGTGAAGTGAAATGGAAAATTATATTTTGAACATTTTCACATTTGACTAAATCATATATTTAAGCATAAGTATTTGTGAAATTCTATAGTTTTTGTGGAAATGATCATCTTACTAGAAATTCTATGTTATGGTTATGTATAGATTTATTGAGTATATGTTTGACATGATCATTATGAGAGAATGAGAATTCACCCTAATATGGTGCTAAAGACGTTGTTTGGAAATTCATATGGTACATTGGTACCATGGAGGCTCCGGTGCACAGTTTTATATTTGTTTGGAAGTCTCAGTACTATGTGAGATAGATTAGGCATTGACACCCTTAGTATTCATGGACAAGAGAAATCAATGATATGTAGTGGTCGAAGGCACTCTTAGTTAGGACTGCCTCCCACGATTAGTGAGCTTGGGCTAATTCAGTCACATAAATTTGGTTATATTGAGTTGTCACTCCACAGATTCAGTTGAAAGATATAAGGGGGGTATAAAGTGGTATATTGATTATGCATATCATTTTATGATCGTACGTGAGTGTGTGTGTGTAACTTGTTATGTGTTTTATATGTCACTTCACATACTCAATATTTATTCTCACACCCGAATAATTTGATTAGATTATGTGATTACTGAGTCCTCGACTCACCCTGTGATTACGTATTTCATGTGAAAGCTCCAATAAGGGCAAAAAGGAAGGATGGTGTTGCTTATTATCGAGGGAATCTGTGTTTGTATAGTCCTTTCTCTTTCTTTTGATTTTGTAACGAATTAATTGTTACTATTATGCCGACTTAGGATCATAAAGCCATTTTGTTGTTACTTATATGAATTTTGTTGTAAATTTAGGGTATCTTAACCTAAAATGTTGTAATGGTGGTGTAATGGTTGTGAGAGATTGAGATAGTAGTGCAAGTGCTATTTTCATGTTGATTTGTATGTTTGAATGGCCAGAAGAATAATTATTGTAAATTGTTGTTATTCTTTGGAATTATGTTGAATTTGGGAGTTTGATTGCCAAATCTTATGTAGAATGTTATTGTTGTGATTTAATTGTGCAAACAGGTTATTTGTGGTCTAATTGAGTTAGTTCAAGTGGTTTTATGGTTATTGACACTAGGTATGTGGGTTTGGATACTTTGTCTGTTGTTTCTATAAAGAAAAGGTATTATTTTGTGTTGAGGTATCCAACTTTCAATTGGATTAATATTTGATTTTGAGATTGGTGTCAATGGCTAGGTAGCTCAAAGAACTACATGTAGACACTTGAATCGAATATCGGATGGTGAAATGACAAGCTTCAAAAGTTGGCCTGGAATGCTGTTATGACAGCAGGCATATGCCCCAGTGCAATGCACAGAGAGGGACATAGTCCTTCTGTGCCATCCACCGCAGTAGGCAAGGCCTACAACACGGTGGACAGTGTAAATTTTGGGATTTCACATATTGGTATGTTATTGTTTTTAAAAGTTTCTTTTGGTTTCCATACTTCCGTTATCAAGGAAGCTTTATAGTATGAATACTAAAATTTTTAAGCCTTCGAAATCTTTCCTTTATCTACACCTAAGCTAGAGTCTGTAAAATATTGACAGAGAGAGGTGAGTTCAACCACTTAAGATTAAGGTACGTCTATGCTGTACAATTGCATATTAATTGATAAAAAAATATAAATAGGAGTTGAATACTAAAAAATATGATTACATAAAGCGAATTTTAATTTTACAAATTAATTTTTTATCATTTTTCACAAGTCAAATTATAAGGTACATTGCCACAACATTAACAAACATGTGACAATAATCTAATCCACAATCTTAATGCACATTGCCATAACACAGACAACCATGTGACAGTGGCATAATTATTACACAACTTATTATAAACTTATCAACCACATGACACGTTGAATACACATATGCATGATTAATTCCTTCTCATACTCCCCTTATTTTCTTTGATTGAAATCGTAGGCTATTTTATCAATCAGGGCTCTATCTATGTGACTAGACTATTTAAGCTCATTAATTGTGAGGAGTAACCCAACCAAAGATCAATGTACTCACTCTCAGACCACTGCTTCCTCCATTCTTAAATCATTAGGGTGTCGTATACCTTAAGCTAATCTCACTAGGTTATAGTCCCTTGACAAAGCATGAGATAATCCCTCGACAAATAGTAGGACAAGCCCAACCTTCGTGCGTCGGAAAGTGGCCATAAAATACCATATGGATTTATCTACTCCTCTCCTTGAGCGAACTCCAGCTAACAATCATGTAATGTCTCTCACTCACACAAACATTCACACATGCTTATAATTCACTATTACAAGCTTATATTCTCAATCATATAATTAGTCTCAACACGTGAGCAAGACAATGATTTTCATTTATCACTTATAATTTTTATTTTCAATCTCAATCACGTTTACATTCTTTCCACTAGACTCAACCATTATATCTCAAATAATCACTATCATCACATCAATTGCCAATTTCTCATTCCAATATATAATCACGATTTGAAATCGTTTCAAAATCAACTTCATATTTAAGATCAAATCAAAGTTAATAAAACCTTATGCAATTTTAGCATATATTAACAATCACAATATTCATTTATTCAAGTCTATTCTTCTGTTTTCAAAAACAAAATCAATTAACAAATAATTGCACAAAATAGATTTCCCTAGTTATCTTAAAACCTTTGAGAGTTTAAAGGTTCGATCTATAATAACTTGCTTCCAAGCTTTCTCTTCAAACCCAATATGGTGTAAGGACGATTAATCTATAGTTAATTATGTCTAAACTCATCAACGTTATTATATACACATTTCAAGCTCTCATTTTTCATTTACAAAATACTCAAAGCCCTTATTTCTCACATTTAGGCTCACCCATTAAGTATATTAACTTCTATCCATTCCCAACTAACCAATATTGAAACCACATTGAGTCATTAACGCCTCAACAACACTCATAACTCGAATTTATTGCCCTGTTTTCAGACATTAATGAAGCTCACCTACAAAATACATGTAAAACCCTTAATAAAATCCTCAATCACTAGTTTAAATATTTCAAATAACTCCTATTAACTCCATTTGAGTCATAGATCAAAAATCATCTCCTACTTGCAAACCATAACTAAAAACTTAAGAAAATAGATTAAGGAGGGAGAAGAAGAGGTTAGAAGACTTATTCTTAGGGTTTGTTAGCTTCAAAATGCCTCCAACCTTTTTAAAATTGAAGCCCTAGTAGAGTTCTCTTTGTTTTTCTTACGGTTCCTCCTCTAATTTTTACAAATCAATGCTCTCCTCTTTTTTTTGTAGAATTTTAGCTGTGCGCTATGGTGTGCAGCACAAAATGCCCTAACCACAATGCTTTGTGACCATGCACCATAGCAGATGGCACAAAGGGGCTTTCCCTCTCTTTCTCAACATACTGCACCGGGAAAGATCATGTACATGCTGTAGTGCATGGTACAAAACCACACACCTCCATTTTCTCTTTCTTTTAGGCCTACTTAGCCCGTACTCGTTCTCAAACCCACTTCCTAACATCATTACCAAGCCCGAGTGGTCCCTTAATCATCTTTAACCATTCTCTACATCAAATTTAGTTAATTAAACTTGATTGCTTCGTTAATAAACTAAGAATTAAATTTAGGACGTTATAGAGCTACCCACCAACTCAAGCTTTGGAGTACTATACTCTACACATAAAGCCATAAAACAGCATTAATGACTAATAGTTACTAAGGTTAATTGTGATTAAGGCCTAGTCAACCACTAAGAGTAACTAAGTCTATCTAACCTAAAACTAACATCCATTATTTTATTTAACCTTCATTAAGTCTAATAGTTACTGCCAATACCTCCTATTAGCTTAAACTTAATTATCTAACATTAGGTTAAATCATCAACCTCTCATTAAGGACATTTAAAGTTGCTATTAGACAGAACTAAGGTGTAAGAGCATTAAGCAATGTTAATAAACCTTATTTAAGTCCTAAGAGTGGCTCTAAAACCATTATTAATTTCAACCTCAACTACCCAATGTTATAAATCGAAAAAAAACAAAGGGGAAAGAGGTAGAAAAAGTAGAGGGAGCTTACCCAAGGCAATAGGAGCCCCAAAATACCTTAAGGTCATCCCTAAACTTGAAACCCTAGCAAAGTAACCTTAAAATGGTCATATAAGCACTCAAACTCAAACTCTTATGTGTTTTTCAAATTGTAGAATTAGATTTAAAATCTTAACAAGCTCATCATGACAAGAAGCATTGTTCCCTGTAACAAATAACACAAAATGGGTAATTTTACTAAAAACCAAAAATTTAGGCCAAATTCGATCTAACAGCTCCTAAAGCCCTATTTTTAACCTTCTTAAGGGCCCAATAGGCCTAAAAGGCCAATCTAACTCAATTATTAACCCCTAATTAAGCTAATTAATTAATTAAACCTTCTAATTAATTTAATTCTTAAATAAATTTTGAGATGTTGTATTTATGACCTAAATAGAGTCTAAAGACATTGTTTACTACTTTTACACTTTGGCTTTAAGTGTTGGCAACATTACATGATGTTGATGAGGGGTTTAAAGTTAATCCTGATCTTAAATAAGTGAATTTAAGTTAATGAGAGTTGATAATAGTGATTAATAAGCTTAATGGGAGTTAAATAAACTGATAGGAGTTAGTTTTAGGGTTAGATATGCTTAATTATGCTTAGTAATGGATTATGCCTTAATTACAATTAAAGGTTAACTAATGTCATTAATACCATTTTTTGAATTTGATTGTAAATTGATAGTGCTTGAAGCTTATGTGTGGAGTAGCTCCCTTGAAAAATCTAAATTTAACTCTTAAAGTGGTAACTCAAGAGTAGAGGTAACCAAAAACCTTATTATTACATATAATTGTGTCTGTAATTGTGATTGAATTACTATGTGACTAGTGACATGAAAAGTGTAGCGAGAATTTGCTATGGATTGTGAACTTGAGATTGTTGTTAAATGTAAAGTATGCCTAATAGTGATACTTATTTGATAATTATGTTGGTAGAGATATTATGTGATTAAGAGATATGAGTTGTTAGCCTAAATTGGCTACGAGTCATTAATGATGTTATGTAATAGAATGCATACCTAGATTGGTTATGATTTATTGATGATGTTATATGATACAATGTATGCCTGGATTGACTACAAATCATTGATGATGTTTATATGATGGATTGTATTTTGAAACTAGATTTGTCGTTAATGTGATCATTAGGCGTGGTAGTAATTAAGTGGTTGCTTGAGTTATGGTAGTTTGCAAGTTATGTTGTTTAAGTGTATGCTAGCTATTGTGATATGCATGAGTAGATTTGTATAAGTTAAATTGAATTGGTAAGAGCATAAGAGTGGGAATTCATCTTAAAGAAGTACAAGGCTAGGATGGTAAAATCCACATGGTGTAGCCTCTACTTAGTTTGCATATGGTGGTTGGCATATTTCATTATTGATGTGCTTAATATTGTCAATTACCTACAGGTATATGGCAATGATCGGGCACGATGTTTAGTACCACTGATCCTAGATTAGACGATATGGGTTAGGCATTTATAACATCTCAAAATTTGAAGAAGGGGAACCTATAATCTAAAAGTAAGGGTGTAAGCTTTTAGTTAAGTGAACTCTTGCAATTGCGGAGCAGAGCTAGTCCAGTCACACGGGTTAGTTCAATAAGAGTTATTAACTCATGCGTTCTATTAGATGATATATGGTGGTTGCATTAATAATAAAGCATTGATATATAAGTGAATATGATTTATATGATGAATTGAATTATATGTTATGATTTTATCACAAGTGCCACACTTTAATATACTTTCATTAAGTTTTTTAGTTAATAACATTGTTTAATCTCACTCCTATTACTTAATGTTTTTCTTAAAGATGATGAGATGGAAGGCAAAAGGGAAGCCTTTAAGGTGAAGCACTAGAGTGTAACATCGTACTCTCTAGTTGCTTTTATGTGTAATGAAGTATATTACATTTTTTGCTAACATTGGGGTTTCATACATATATGGTATATGTGAAATATAGATCATTTACACCTGTGCCCTACTTGTGGACTTGGGCATTTTTGTTGGTAACCTATGTTTTGAGAAAAGGCTCAATATGCAAATGCATTTGATATCTATGATTGAGTATTGACTATACTTTTATATGTTTAAAGATACATTTAACATGCATGATTAATTAGGTGTTTTTAGAGTCAATTGCTCGCATGTTGTAATCTTATCTAAAAGAGGTGCTTTGCTGTAGTGGATTAGTGTTTGGCCATGACAAGTAGGCTAATTTGGAGTTGGCCTTGGCAAGTGATGGCTTAGCCATGATGGATGTCTAAGCACATGCTGGTCGTGGTGAAGGTGTTCACTAGTTACAATAGACATACCTTTGTGGCATAAGCCGTGGCAAATGGACTTCCAACTAGGATGGACATACACAGTTTGGCTTAAAATGTCTGTTTTACCCCTTATGGGTATTTCTTAATGTTGTCTTTGATTTTCATGTTTTAACATGTTTTCCTATACTTTGATTTTTATTGAATTATATTATTTTATATCAAATGATTTTTAGGATATCAACTTCTTGATCATCTATTATAAATAACATACTTTGCTTTAGGCCATAATTGATTCTTATTGAGTGAGGAAGGTCTGGGTTAATTGTAATTAATCGAAGTTAATAACGAATATCATTACAAAGTTAACATTAGGTTCTCAAGTTTCGAGAGTTGGTGCTTATGAGTGCATTATTAATTGTCATGAGTATTGATCATATAGACATTGGCAAAATATATTCATTACATGTGTTTTTCTTTTAATTCCTTCTATCATTCGTACTTACCCTCCTAAGGTAGGCTACATCCTTATGAGGGGAGAAGGGATAAAGTTAGCATGTTTCTAGTATGTTTGTCTTTGTGGCAAGGAAAATTTGAGACAAATAATTTAAAGGAAAGTGGTTGATTGAGAAAATACAAATTGTACCTTCTAATTAGACTGTACTAAATAGATATGAGAGATATCCATCTATTGATTAAATACTTAATTACTTATCTCATAGTTCTTCTTTAAAGGAAGGGGTTTAAATGCATATTGTGGCAAGAGAATAAAAGTTAAGTGAAAAGAAAAATGTGAGGATGGATAAATTAGTAATAGATGAAAGGGTTGAAATTGTAATGTGACTAATGTTAAGTTTAGATTGGTTGGGACTGGATTTGAGGGAATGATTACTAGTAGGTACATTATTTAATCGTGGAAAATTTTATTTCTATGTGCTATATATATATATATATATATCTTTGGGAAGTCTTATGGGGAGTGAGGAGGTCAAGGAACCAAGGAATCCTAGAGACATTGTGTGGCTTAGCATTAGAATTGGTTACAAATTCATGGGTTGAATTGGTACCACATGTAGTAACAGCTCTAGGAACCATTGTTATGAGAACAATGGAATTATCAAGAATAAGAGATTAAAGGACTAACTGAGTTGATAAATGAATGAGAATTGTTTAAGGAAATGGAGTTTAAGAATTAAGAGCATTAATATATGAAAGGATTTATATGTGTATATACATTAATGGTCAATGTCTCACTTTAGGTATAAGGTTGCAGTCAGGATAGTGAAGACTTTCCTTTATGTGGGAGCCAAGAGTATTTTAAGTGATTGGTGCACTTTTCATTGAAGTTTAAATTGATACATAGATACTTGTTATATTTAAATATGAATAGGCATCTATGTCTTGAAGATTTCTTCAAACTAAAGTTATAGGAAATTTAATTTATATGACAAAAGATTTGGTGGAAAAAATGTTTTTTTTAGGTTTCAAGGCATTATGCCAAAAAAAATTTGAAATGTTTAATAGAAAGACTTAGGTGTATTTGGATTAAAAAAATCTATAACTGAGGTTGAAAATTAACTAAGGTTAGTAAATTGAGGTCAATTTTTTTTTTGTAACTATAATGTAATTCATGCTTGAATATTTTCTTAAAAAGTCAGTTGGGTAAACTAAAATTTATTTAGATGATTTGATTTAAAAGTTAGTTGAGATGTATAATGACAAAAATAGACATGAATTTTGTAATGTATATTTTTGTGACTAATTTAATATTTTTTAAAAAAATAAAATTAAACTTAAAGCAAGAGATTTATATAAAGCCCTTTAGCTTGTTTCTCTTCCTTGGGATATTACTTATATTTGCCACTGTAACTGTTCGACTTTCAAAACAAGAGGCAGAGAAAGCTATACAATGACTAATGAGTTTTCTCATCTCGCATTTCTCTTCTCTTTCTCCATCAAGGTTTATTTCCTTTTATTCATTGGTTCCTCCAAGATTGTTTTTGTTCTCTTTCTGCAAAATATAACTAGTTTCTAGTTGGATTTTTTTTTTGAAACAATCACTCTTGATTTTCAACACAATCACTGTGCCACCATTAAGCAAGAGAGTTGTATGTGTGAAGGAGGAAAGAGGAAGGAAGAAGCAAAAAGCTCACACAAGGCTAAAAGCTAAAGATAACCAAAAGAGAAAAATTTTTGACGCACATTAAAATGAAAGCCCCCTAAACAACTTCAGGAAAAACACTCATTGGAGTGTCACGACTCATTTATTTATTTTTTTAATCCAAACAAAATCTAACTGAGTGTTTTTATCTTCAATTGAAGGTTGGATTATTCTAACCTCAATTAAGGGATAAATCAAGCACACACTTAACCTTTTAGATTGATTACGAAGATTAAATATGTTTCTCCTGAATAATTGAAAATGAAGTAGCTTCCAAAACTTTACAAAAGAAATTGAAAACTTTTGTTCACCTTTCCAAGTCTTTTATGACAAGGAAAGAAAAGTTAGTAAGTGATAGATCAAATGCATATTTTTACATATATAGTGGACCTATTATGAAATAAGTCTCAACTGTCAAATCTTATAAGTTATGAATGCATTTAAGAAAGGTTATGATGGGATTAACTTAAATCAAAGTATTTGTGGGTAGCTAATTGTGGATACAAGAATCATTACTATCGAGACTACGGCTAAGAAATCTGGATAGGCTTTTGATCAATCTATGTGGTTATATCGTGGATCTAATAATACTATCTTCTGTACTAGAAAGCATTGGAATTGACGTTGGTAAATAAAGGTAAAGTAGATTAATTAATTGACTGAGGACTCAGGGGTAATTGCATGAGAAATAATCGGTGTCCTAAAAGAGTAAGGGGATAGTCATAACTTTAGTGCTAATATTGAATTTAACATTTTAAAGATAATTTTATAATTTATCTTAAAAAATACGAGATACATAAAAATCTTATAAAATTTTAAAATACTTAAATAATAATTTTATATAAAATAAAATTTCACAAAAATATTATAAAATTTTAAAATAATTAAATAAAGATAATTTTTGTTAGTGTAATCAAACATAAAATAATATATATATTTTTGTAAAAAATTTTATAAAAATAAATTTATTAGTCAAAAAAGAGTGAATAGATCTTAAATCCCCAAACTTCGGAAACCTCAGGAAAGGTAACCCAAAAAGGAAAAGCCTTGGAAAACAAACAGAAGAAGGGTAGGATGGTAACTTCGGTGCAGCACGAGGCATGTTCGACTTACCCTTGGTAAATGGCAACCTCCCTCCGATTCCGAGTCCAACATCTTTCAGGTTTGGTGGGCGGGCGGTATTTGTGAATCCGACCTCAGCTTTGTCTCTTCTCTTGCTTTTATATTTAAGATTGTTCAGTTCCAATTTCATCACCCAAACAGCCCCGAATTCTCTCCCATCTTCTACCTTTCCGTATCCAGGATAATAGAAGGAAAAAAATTGGCGATAACTGTTCGGCTCTTGATCTGCTGGATTGGTTATTTTCATTGACTGGATTGGGCTTCGAAAATGTACAACGCTGTGATGGATCCTGAGTTGATCAGAATCGCTCAGGAGCAGATGAGTCGCATGTCACCGGCTGAATTTGCTCGGATCCAACAGCAGGTCATCTTCTTTCCTACGTTGATTTTATGTTCTTGGTAGTTATCTACAGGAAATCTTCATGACTGTAAATGTAATTTCACTCATCCCGTTTCACCTGAGTCCCGGATTCAAAAAATGAGAGCGATCCATTGTGAATTTGATGCCCATGGATATAGGGAATCGATTGACCTTAGTCGCATATCCTTTTGGAACAAGGGAAAAGATACTAGGTTAGGAATTGGTGACGTAGCAGAGCATAGGAGTTGTTCCTAAGGAGTATTTCTTATAAATTCAACGGTGTAAAGATGCGTATTGTATGTATGTGGCTAAAGAATGATGATAGAAGTTTAGTTTGTTTCTCGTCTTTAGCCTGTGTGAAGTGATAATGTCCTTTGTGCTCTGAATTTTGAAGGTTAGAAAGAAGGTGTTTGCCTTGAGGCGCGTGGCATAAAATATCCTTTTCTGGAACTTGAATTGATGACACATTATATCTCAAAAGGGAATACGAAATGCGTTATTTTAACTTAACCTAAATTTCAAAATGAGAAAAATTTGGTATTTGATACCAACAAACTGTTTCCTTAGTCTTTCAAGAGGTTTTTGTCATAAATTAAATCATGCATTGTAAGTGTATCTCATCCTCTGTTGTTTAATAATGTTCATCATGTAAAAATGGTATTTCAGATGATGTCCAATCCAGAGTTAATGAGGATGGCCTCAGAAAGCATGAAGAACATGAGGTCTGAAGACTTTAAACTAGCTGCAGAGCAGCTAAAGCATACTCGTCCTGAACAGATGGCTGAGATTGGTGAGAAGATGGCAAATGCAACACCTCAAGAAATTGCAGCTATGCGTGCCCGTGCTGATGCCCAGATTAAATATGAAATAACTGCGGCTGAGATGTTGAAGAAGCAGGTGTGTCCGTGTGTGTGATTAATCTTTTGGGAATAACTAATCAATATCATCTTTGTTGAGTATTAATCAGCAGTCAGAGACTTATTTTTAAAGCAATGAAGTATGTGTCACTTGAGAATTGAGATTAGTCCAAGTTGAAAGAGAAAGACAGCCGAGAGCCAGGACTAATCTCCAAAAAATTACAATCTTTTTGTCTCAATTGAAGAATGTTATGGTCATACGTTAGCCCCTGAAGGCCCAAATTCAGATTCACAATTTCTTATGGTCAAAGAAAGCTTCTTAAATAAAATTTTATTTTATCCTAGTTTAGTTCCAAAGTAACGTTTGGTCAGAAAATCCAGTTGCATCATTACATGATTGGGTAGGAATAAGGAAATAGCACTCCATCTGTTGCATTTACAGTTTCTCAGTTCTTCTCAAAACAAGTTGGCGTGCTGCCATGAACTAGTTGCCTTTGTGGACTAAAATTAAAATTTGCAGGGTAATGATCTTCACAGTCAGGGAAGATTCCATGAAGCTATGCAGAAGTATTGTCTTGTAAGTGCTCTTTTGTGACTTTTAATTGTCTTCCCAATCCCCCTTTTTTCTCCCCCAGGTTCTGTATGAGATCCTTCATGCCATGCACCTGTTAGATGGTTTTAACGGCCAGATTTCTTGCTTTCAATTTATCTTCTAGGCCAAGCAAAACATAAGAGAAATTCCATCCTCCCAAAGTAGAAAGCTTCTTTTAGCTTGCTCGCTCAACTTGATGTCGTGTTACTTGAAGACAGGGCAGTATGATGAATGTGTAAAAGAAGGTGCTGAGGTAACTAGAATTTTATTCTTTTACAATTGCAAAATAAATGTTACTTTTTTTTTTTGGCCAATACGATGTTACTTGTTAACTCTAACTTCAATACTACAACAATAACAGCAAGCCTTATCCACTAGGTGGGTTCAACTACATGGATTATATGACTTCATTGTGTTCTATCATTTATTAAGCTTTTAGATGTTAACTCTAACTTCAATATCCAGGTATAATATTTAAATAGCAGTGATATGTGGGTAATAACCTGGAAGATGATAAAACATGATAGGAAAGAAACTAACATTGTGATTATAATATGTGAGAAAATTTCTCCTTTTTTGTTGCATATGTTTGGCAAAGAGTGTAGTCTATTATTTTATCATCTTTATTATATTATGATCATAGTTACCATAATTAGTTTATAATTTTCAATTTTACATAAATGTATTACTGTGCTTGACTGCTGGCGGCTATAGGTTTTGGCTTATGATGCAAAAAATCTTAAAGCTCTTTATCGAAGAGGTCAAGCATATAAGGAACTTGGTCTACTAAAGGTCTGTTTCACTCCTTATATTAGGATTTTTTTAGACTTTTGACAGCTGTTGTTGTTCTAATATACTTGTTTTATTTGCTGATATCCTTAATTCTTATAGGATGCTGTTGATGATTTGAGCATGGCATATGAAGTTTGCCCAAGTGATGATACAGTTGCAAAGCTTTTAAGGTTCGATGCTGCTCTCTTCCACATGCATACACCTGTCTTCTAATGAAATGTTCTTCGACCTCATATATCACATGTGCTACTATTTATATATTTATGACCCGTGATTGTCATTAGATATTCCTATAACTACAATGTAAGCAACAGATGATCTTTTTAAGTATATGTTTGATATGTTTTTGATTTTATTTTCTGTCATCAAGCGTCTTACAGTTGGTTTTATAGCCTATCAAATAAAGGAATGTTTTATGGGAAATAAGTTTTGAAGTTTGAACACCATTTGTCTGTTTGGTAGAAAAAGGATAGGGATGAATTTGACCTCATATTTTATTGCATTGAATGTTTACATCAGGGAGACCAAGGAAATTTTGGCAGAGGATGGTGGTGAGCATGCACCTAGAGGTAAGTTCCTCTCCTCCACCCCCACCCCATAAGGAAAAAACTAAAAAAGTCTTTTTTTTCCATTTACTTTGTCCCAACCCCCTTAACTTTAATGTTTCAATGGATGAGAGATTTATTTTTTTATGTTTCAGGATTGGTAATTGAAGAAATAACTGAAGAAGATCAGAATGTCCGGGCACAAAACTCTGAAAGCTCATCTGTGGAGCAAACAGTGGCTTGGCCAAAAACTTCCAACGAGTCTTCCAAGAGTTCCAGTACAGTTATCAATGAAAATCTAGAATCAAATATGGAGAGGTAGTGAGCCCTTTTTGTTATAAATACCCACTCTCCATTTGGGTTAACAGAGTGAGCTATAATTTTTTCATAAGCTATTGCCAACCTTATCTATGATGAACCCTAATATCTCGATATGTATTCTTTACAACCTATGAGCTAGCCCCAATTTTACATGGAGAAAATCAATTGAATAAGTTATTTGCTGCCTTTTGCAGTCAATTTTTTTTGTAGAGAGGGTGGGCTAGTTGAACTACCTGTTTGAAGCTTGCTGCTTGTGAAAGTTTGGTTAGAATTTTGAAGTGACATTTAGCTTTCCAAAACACATTTTTTATGTGAACTGTGGGGAATTCTGGAAACCTTACCCTCAGGGCACCTTGCAATAGATTGTCTATTGGACTTACTTTTGCCCCTTCCACTTCTATCAATTTTTTCTGGGCCCAACGTGGGTTCATATGATTGTGGCTGGCATTGATTTGCAAGGAAAATTTGGACATGAGTGCTTGTTTTCATATCTTGGTATTTGATGCTTACTAATTATGCAAGATTTCAAGCTATCCTGACATGAAGTATTCATCAATTCCCTTGTGCCCCCATCCCATCCTATGTACTTTTTATCTATTAATTGGAGTCTGGAATAATTTGACTTTTATTTTTTATATTCTACAGATCATTCCAAAATTTCATTTCAAATGCCAACCCTGCCACTCTTGCTTCTTTGAATGCTGGACAGTCCAAAGATGTGTCTCCCGATATGATTAGAACTGCCTCAAACATGATTAGCAAGATGTCACCACAGGAACTTCAAAAAATGCTTGACATGGCTTCTTCATATCAGGGGGACAACCCATTTTTAAGAGGTTCCCCTGAATCTACTATCAACTCTGGATCAATTCCTCCAAACGTGACTCCTGACATGTTTAAAACAGCTTCTGATATGATAAGTAAAATGCCACCAGAGGATCTTCAGAAGATGTTTGAAATGGCTTCCTCATTGTCCGGGAAAGCATCTAGCTCATCATCCGCAGCTGTGGACAAGAATGTGAGAAATGCTTCTCAGTCGAACATCCCCTCCTCCAATGCTAGTGGAAGCAATGCATTTGCTGAATCAAGTTCTTATGATTCATTTTTAAATATGGGAAACGCTGCTCAGTCAAACTTCCCATCCTCAAGTGCTGATTTGCAAGAACAGATGAGAAACCAGATGAGAGATCCAGCTACGCGAGAGGTCTGAACTATCTTTTTTCTTATTCACATTGCATGGAATAGTTGCAATGCTGTGTTGAATTTTGTTCTTGAGTTCTTTAATTCTCAGGTGTAATAATAAGGCAATTTGATCAATTGTGCCTGCACTTTATGGCTTTAATGCGCCTTGCTTTTAGCTTCGTCTTAATTAGCTTGGGGCTTATTCTTTATTCATTAGTTATGTCTTTAGCTGCGAAATAATATGGTGGGGTATAAATTTTGTAGTGAATTCCATTTTTTTCATTCAATGTTTACTTTGCTCTATTACATCCCTATTGATTTTTGGTTGCGATATTGTCTTGGCAGATGTTTACATCAATGATTAAAAATATGAGCCCAGAAATGATGGCAAACATGAGCAAACAATTTGGTGTTAAGCTTTCAAAAGAAGATGCAGCAAAAGCTCAGCAAACCATGTCATCCTTGACACCAGAGGACTTGGATAGAATGGTACTTTCTTTTCTGCAGTTTGCTTTAGCGTCCTTATAGTGTATCCATTGATAAAATTATGTCGTGGAGATGAATAAGCTTGGATGGATGCGACATTACTGAGAGAAGGAAAGCACAAAATTTTATTGAAAATACCTGCTGCTCTATAACGAAATGTAAAATAATCATCTAAGATTATTTGAGCTTGTAAAATGTAGTTAGCTAATTTATGGTCAGTTTCACAGTCAAGGCTGCTCTGTTCGTTGAAATAGCAGACTATAAGGGCATAAATGATCTGACTGGGCTGAGGGCGGGTGTCTAAATGTTTGTAACTTAACTGCCCCAATGCTGTTTCATTAGTTATAAGACTTTTTGGTTGTTACATGCAATTTGAAATGTCGCTGTGTTTGACACGTTCGGCTGTAACATGCAAGTTTGCATCCTTCTCTGTATCACCCATATAAATCCTTTTATATGGTTGCAGATGCGATGGGCTGATCGGATTCAAAGAGGAGTTGAAGGTGCAAAAAAGACGAAGAATTGGCTGCTCGGAAAACCTGGTATGATATTGGCAATAGTCATGCTCATATTAGCTGCAATCCTTCACTGGCAGGGTTTCATTGGTGGCTAGAACAAGTGAGATGTGCATTCTAGGACATCCCGATTTAGGTTGTCGAGAAGATTCCACGTATTGCCTTGGAGTACAGCTGATATGAGGTTATTATAAGTTTTATGGGAGGAGAAAAGGAGGGTGCAAAAGGGGAAGGCGGAGCAGGGGTTTGCTGGCAGGGACAGCAAGGAAAGGGGTAAGGTGTTGACATCGTAGTTAATGTGTTCGCTAGAAATCTTTTGATTTGATTTTGATCCGTTGTATCTTTGATTATGCTGCTGGTGACTGACTGTAGATGGTGTAGGCGATGAAATTGACAAAAATGTCATTTCATTGGGGGAGTGACCAAAAAAAAAAAAATTGCTTTGTTGTAAAATATTAGCTCGAGCACTCTGGCACTTACCTTTGTTAGTTGTGACCCTACTATTTAATCAATTTGATGGCAATAAACTTATTAGTAAGCAACCGGATAATGGGCACTTAGATCTGTGAATTGCTCAAAACATCATCGTTCTGCTGGCCTTTCAACTTTCAAGAGCATCACCAATCTCGAGTCTGAACGCTGTGGGCAACAAATTACGGAATAAATTGAAAAAATTAAAATTAAAATAAATTAAATTACCTTTTCATTTTGTGGTAAACATAATAAAACTTATTCATATATATTGTAAATGTGGGGATGATAATACCTTTTAAAAATTTTATAAATCATAATTCTTAAAATGTGAAAATGATCATATCTTCTAAAAATTTTATAAATTATAATTCCTAACTTCATGAATCAATTATCCTTTTCTTTTATAAATGTAATTCACTTATTTTTTTTTATTATTATTTTTATATTTATGTCCCTTTTAGTAATCAAATAAAACTTATATTATTAACTTTGAACTATTTTGTAATAGGAATAAAGATAAAAATAAACTTGATGAAATGCCACACGCATGTTAAGTATAGCACGGGAAAAAAAGAGAGAGTTTATATTTGATTGAGCACTCCTAATATTAGGAGTACTTGTGTTAAATATGCGACAGATCTATGTTTGACGTTTGACCTTCCACCGCACTTGCAATTCTTTCAGCAATTGACGCCTTCCCTGAAGTAAAATTTTGACCTCAATTTCTTTCTTTTTGGATATCGTTTCGTTGTCGTGAATTCTCTGTAAATTGTAGAGTACGGGAAATTGGACAGCTCTCTCTCTCTATCTATCGATTTCTTTCTTTCTTTTTTAAGATTGACCGAATCTACAGATATGATTAAGCTTCATTCCCAGCCAAAGACCAGAGTTGATTCTTGTCGTGCAAATTTTTTTTTACTGCTAATCAAGCCTAGGACCTTGGTTTTGTTGGTCGTTTGCAGATTAAATATTAGTATTGTGTCTATTGATTATTTTTAATTTTTATTTTATCAATAATAACAATAATTTTTTAGGTGGAAGATTTGCATTGCTTTTTCATTTTCTGATTGTTTTGCATGGTCATGTTGCCAAGCCCATGTTAATGAGGCCCATAATGCTATGGGCCTATACCATCCGAATAAGATTATCCATGCACGAAGCCCGGGTCTGTCTCCGAACATTATTACCGTTGTTAACACAATGTCACAAACGCAGAAACTAGAAAGAAAGTGCGCCTTTGCTTGTCTCCAACTAAGGGCCCATTTATTTAAGATTAAAAATAAATAATTTTTAAATAATTTAGATATTTTATAAAATAAGATTTATTTTATAGAGATTTTATAAAAAGCATATATTATTACACATTTGATTACAATAATAAAAAAGTAGTTATTAGTTAATTATTTTAAATTTTATGATATCTCCGTTGATTTTTATATTATAAAAATAATTTATTGTTCTATTATTACTAAACCTTTGGTTAAGGTTTCTCGTCTCCTCTTACCTCTTCTTGCATTTTCCTTTAGGTTTATTGGGGGGGTGGTAGAGATTCTATCCAAATCTTGGTTGGAGTTACACCAATTCCTAATGGAGTTTGAGGATGCTATTTTATACTTTTAGTCACTGAGCTTAATAGAGGTTAAATAAGTTTATGGAGGCTAAAAATGGAATTATTTATTGTTAATATCACGGGTCTCAAGCCTTAATCACAATTAAGAACCCCTTAATAATGATTAGTCATTAATAACATTTGTTAATCTTAAATTGTAGATTAATTACTCTTGAAACTCATAGATTGTTTGGGAGCTTCTTTAGGATCCAAGTTTTACCCTTAGTGTGGTAAATTAAGAGTTAAGGTAACCGAAAGTTAAACATTTATACATGTTTGTGTTTGCATTTGTGATCTTAATAAATTTAGTTATGGAATGGCATGATATTATTAGAGCTTAGTGAATGTGCAAATTGTTGAATTACATGATTTGAATGATAATATGTAAATAATAATTTTATGGTGTGCTATGGAAAATTGTACAAGGAAATGTTGCATGGTATAAGGCTTTTTTTTGATAAGATCAGATTGATAATGTTTATATGACTAGATGTAAATTATTGAACATGAAAGGGTTGATTTGAGTTGATTTGACATGGTTAAGTATGATGTCACAATGGAGTTGTGGTTAAAGATTTTATTTGTGCATGAATTATTGAGCACAAGTATGATGTTGTGGATATGTGATAACGTTAATGAATAGTTATGTCCTAATGTTAATTGTTAAGTATATTGAATGTGATAATGATATTTTATTGAGCATAAGCTTATGATACTGACATGAAATTCAAATATCAATTATTTATCCTCATTTTAATAGTATATGCTTGATTATGATATAAGTTAATCAAATTCACACATATGGCATGTCATTGAGTAACATGAGCATATTGCATGATCACTGATAGGTGAGAGTTTACATGAGATAATAGGGCGTTATGAAAATTCACATAGTACTCACCAGCACTGTAAGGCCTCAATGTTTTGGTTCATGACTACTACCCTAGAGTAGGTAGAATGATACCCTAATGAGTTCAGAATAGGGGAATCTATGGTTTGAGAGTGAGCAAAGGGCCTTAGCTAAGTCACTCCTCACAATTGGAAAGCAGAGCTAATTTAGTCACTCGGGTTAGTCCTATATGATTCAAATAGCTCATGAATTCAGTTAAAAGCTATAAAGAGAGTAGTTAAGATGAAGCACGATCATGCTTAACTATCATTATCGTTGCACATATGGTCTGATCATAAAAAAAAAAACACACACACACACACACATTTCATATCATTATGACACATGTTGAGTAACTATAGAATTTATAAATGCGAATGTATGCTTCAATTGCTTTTATGTGCCTCACACTCATGTGCTTGGTTACTGAGATTGTATAATCTCACCCTCATGATTTGATGTTTTCCAGGAGACACTTCAGGTTCAAGATAACGGAAAGCAGATGAAGTTAGAGACACCTAACTATAGTAATATTTTTAGTATTTATATATTTGTAATTGAATAGTGTATTACCAACACTAGGAGTCATTTGCATGGTTTTAATTATCGTTTCTTTATAGCCTATGATGATGATTTAGGTACTATAACTTGAACTGCGTATGTCTTTAGGAATGGAGTAATTGCCGTATATGAGTACCTGTTATGGCTTGCACATTGTGCGAGGGTTATTAATTACCTCCAATTTTATTAGCATCCTAGTTGATGGTAAGCCCCGAAAGGTGTAATTTGGGCATTTATAGTCTTGGATGCATGCGAAGGGCTACACATATGTGTTCTGTGGACATCATCCATCCCAATTATTCAAAATTCCCTTTGATATCAAATCATTGTGAAACTGGAGTCATTAGCTCCTTTTAATATCGAATCATTGTGAAATTAGATTCATTAGCTAGATTGCTTACTTGCTTGTGTATGGACAATGGAGGTCCGAGCTAAAAGTTAAGAGCCTTGAAAGTTAAAATCTAGTATTGTCATATCTTTTGCTGTCATGACCTGTTAGCCACTGTAAAAGGCTCTATTGGCTGTGATAAATGATGAGTTTGGCTATGACAGATGGCCTTGTTGTGGTTGGCCGTGATGGACGTATGCTTGATCATGATGGATGGTCTTTCTTTGCGAAAAGCGACTATTTTACCTTGATGTTAATTATTTTAATACTCAATTACTTTTACAAGTTTTCATAACTATTATACTTTGTTCTTGAAGTATTCTGAGAGCCTTTTTTAAATTATTTCTAAACTTGAGTTGTTTTACTTTGGGATCCTTTTTATTCAAGCTGTTACCAACTAAACTTTGGAATTTTCAAAATTGCTAAAGTTGATTCCATCCTCTTTTGAAATATTTCTTAATTGGATTGATTAGTTTTAATTATTGTTGTTAAATATTGGTCAATGATAAAGGTCACACTTAACAATTAAGATCAATATAACTTAACTAAATGAACGCATTTCATTTACTATACATTTCATTATTCTAAAAGCCATTATCTTTCCCACTTTGTATTTCTAATATATATATATATATATATATATGCATATTTACATACATACTTTATTTCATAAAACACTTATAAACAATTTAACATGCTAGTAAAAAGAATAAATTATTTAGTTATTTCAATTATTTTGTTACAAAAAGGTTACCCATGATAAACAAACGCTCCAACAAACTCTTTTAGCTCAAAGAGTTTCTTAGTTAAAATAATTTACAAGGTTAAGCACTACTCATTTCAAATTACAGTATAAGCCATAGTTTACTAATTCACGATTTTCAAACAATGTTAATTGAAACCTTAAATTCTTAAAAATATTTACATATTTTCATTTATACCTTTATTAAATACCTCATATAAGAACCTTGATAATATCAATTAAAATTTCAATGCATGATTTTTTTTTAAAAAGAGTAATAAATGGAGGAGGGGTATAATTGGGAAAACAAATTTAAAATTTGTTCAATATCCTATATTTTAAACCAAGTAAGGTTTCTAAGAGATATCTTGGTCCAAATGAAGTATATGTTAATTTTCTAACTTAACATAAGCACTCAATAGCTAAATTTAGCTAACCTAAACTAACTAAAATTGGGCCAATCAAAGTCCTAATCATCTTCCAACAACTAATTCTATAAAAATAGGTTTCTTTTGAAAATTCATAATTAATACTAGAAAAATCATTAGGGCATGGTCTTGATCCTAATTGAACCTTGAGAAGTTTTCTTCAAAGAAAAAATAATTTCCAAGAGACCTTACACCAAAAATAACTTACAACTTTGAGAATCCCACTAATCCAAATTAAAACATGTTTTTTCTTGATTTCCAATCCAAATTTTAAAAATTCATAACTAATTATATAAAAATTCTTTGAGCACGATTCTGGTGTTCATTTGTTCATTTTCAACTCTATTGTAAGAAAACATTATAACCAATGTCCTTATTCTAGAATCACAAGAAAAATTCACTCTCTCTAAAATCACTTCCAATAATTCCATATTTCTGGCCACAAATTAAA